GTTAATCTATTTTATATACAGTAGTTTGGCAAAATCAATTCTTTTCATATTTGGTAGACAGCGATCAAGCTGAACCATTGAACTACTACTACCTGTTGATTCCTGAGCTACTTCCTTACAGTAGCCTCAGCCCCTCTCTTAGCCACTAAAGGACAGCTCCCTTTGAAGACCTAGGGTTTTTCTGGCTGGTACCAAGTGATTTGCCAGCAATGCTGCCTTAGGAGAATAATGAGACTGAATACAAATGTGTTCCTAGTAGCCAGAGCCCTAACCTATGTGATTGATGTGGACCCTCAACAACATAGAGTAAGAGCTGACCCAAGACAGTTTCTAGACAACGATGGACTTCACTTTTGCATGGTTTGGGAGGAAAATAAAATTTTAAAATGCTGACATGGCACCATCTGGTAAAGTTCAGTATCCCTGCTAAAGAGACTCCAGCTACAGCTTTCACTTGAGAGGATGAAATGCTTCTCCAGACCCACATTTCACCCACCAAACTGTGGAAAACCCAGGGAACTCAGGGAAGAAAGTTGTATCCCCCGTGTGCCTAGAAGGGGGATGAAGAAAGTTGGCCCCTGGCCAGTACTAGTATTAGAGAAATAGGCACAAAAAAGCCAGATCCTGACTTATCAGGAAACTTCTTTTTCTGAGCAAGGGATTTTCAGGCTAGAATGCTGTTGGGTTTGCAGCCCTGAGTGAAACTCTTTGAATTGTCATCTGCAGTTGAAGTGGGGGGGAGGGCAGACAGATGCCCACCTATCCCAACCCTTCTCATTTCATCCTGTTTGTATGCAGGAGCTGAGGGAACATCCCCAGGAATCTGTGGATTGCCATGTGGGGCCTTAGGACTTAGGCTTTCTAAATAGCCCTAAAGTCACCAGGCAGTTTCTATATATGGCAGGAAGGGCAGCCTTTCATTTATTTAATTTATTATTCTTCTGCCTCATTCTACAAAGGATTGGAGGGAGGATAGGCTACAAGGTCTGTGCTATATATATCAACTGTTGGTTTAAAAGCTGGGACTTTTCTGCCTTGTTTTCTCCATATTGAATGAATTAGCTGGAAAGTTGATTTCTCCTTGTTTCAAGTTCAATGTGTAATACAGGAAGCCTTAAGCAAGAATGTATCTCTAGGGAATCTGCTTCAAAGATGGCTGGGCAGTCACTGCATTGAAGTGGAGCCTTGTGATGTCCTCTTGAAATCTCTGGGACTGAATAGGTACCTTCTGCTCGGTTTAAGAAAGCTGAATATATAACTCAATTGACTGGCTGTCATTCAGCTCAAGTGGCTTCTATATGTGGCTGTGGGTTGGGGATCTGTAGCCTGTAAGGGAGTGCAACAGTTCTCTCAAAGTTAGTCTTCCTTGTTTCACTTTATTTTCATCCCTTCCTCTCTCTATGTTATGTATGCATGTTTTTATGCCTGAGGTGTGTGGAGAGAAGGAGTCCATCATAGCTTACTTCCCATTTCAGATAAAAAATCTGGATCTTTTGTCCACATCAAAGTGGGAGATAATGGGAGGAGGAGGGACAAACTTACTGGCATGGAAATGTCAACACCAGATGTGGAATGCTAAATAAATACTTTATTATAAGCAAATGTCAAAAAGCAAAATAAAAAGGAGGTGAGGATGGAGGCTAGAGGAGCAAACATTAAAAACTTGGAGGGAGTCCTGGGATGCCAAACACATCACTGTCATCCATGAGCACAACAGCATCACCAGTTCTCTCCACCAAGGGCCCCACAGTCTCCATAGGTCCCACAGTCTTATAAAGGAAAGACCAGAAGAGCCTGGGTTTTCATCTGCTAACTGCTGTTTCTTGCCAGGCCATACTCTTAAGGGGAGACTCCTTAATTTGTGCAAGATGCCTGGATCATTTTCCTCTGCAAATCTTCTTCCAAGACTAACCTGATTTCTCTTCACTTCCCAGCATTCGTTAAGTCCTCTCCGAGGCAACCTCATTGGCAGCCCTAGCCATTGGAAATTTAGATGTTCCCTGGGGCTTTTTGTCTGGGAATTGAAGGTAGTGGACTTAGTGGAACATCCACATCTCCAACTGGTTCCTTGGTTTGCAGTAGACCTAACCTGGTCTTCTGGGGTAAGGCCTGGACTTCAATATCAAAGGCAATAAATCACAACTCCCCATTGGAATGGAGAACAAACAACCTTTGTTCACGGTAGAACAAGTTACGCCAGGAGACACCTATTTATTATCTTTTACCAGATTGCTTTATGTTCATTTCTGAGAATCCCTTTGCTAAAAAGTTACATATTCAAATGGATTACTTCTTAAGAGATCTGGTTCTTGATAAACTTTATTTGGTAACACACCCCACCTCTTCTGTGCCCACAATGACAAGGTTTGACCTTTAGTTTGAGGAAATCACAGGATTTCATTAAAAAGCGAACTGGAGTGAGAAGCAAAGATGATATAATACAAAAGCAGAGGTGACCATGAGCTCTGTTAGTGAGCTTGACACCTTGTTAGATGAAAGCAAGGTCCCTACCTAGTCATTTATAATTACACTGAGACAAATAGCACTGTAAGTTTAGGAAAATACAAACTTTTTCAGAATAAGATTTGCAATTAAAATGGCTACAGTAAAACCAGAAAAGTCATATAGCCCCATATTTAGGCAGAGACATATTTGTGGCCAAAAGGTCTAGTGACTGATTACACCCTGTTAAGTACATTATGGTCATAACGGACGAATGGTTTATTCTCCTCTCATGCTCATGCTCAGTCACTTTATCCATGTCCAACTCTGAGACCTTAGGAACGTAGCCTACAAGGCTCCTCTGCCCACGGGATCCTTTAGGCAAGAATGCTGGAGTGGGTTGCCATGCCCTCCTCCAGGGGATCTTCCCAACCCTGTTGGGAAGTTGGACTGAAACTGTATCTCCTGCATCTCCAGCATTGCAGCCGGATTCTTTACCTCTGAGCCACCAGGGAAGCCCAATTCTCCTCTAGCCCATCTGTAATTGTCAAGAGGACCCAAGATTCAATTTGTGGGGCATCGTGTCACCTCGGGAATGAGTTATGTAATAGCAAAATTGGATCAGAATGTATCTTGGCACTCTTATTTATTTACTGTTTCTTTCCTGATCTCAATTGCTTTGCCACCTTTGCTAGTCCCAATGTTAGATGGCTTCTCTAGAAAAACACGTGAACAGAAAGTAGTTGAGAAGCAGAGAATAGTGAGAATGCAAAGAGAAAGGGCTAACTATATGCAATGGTTGATGCAAAAAATCCTTTCTGGAACAAGGTATTAAAAAAAAAACAAAGAAAGAAAGTTCACTATTCTCCCTCCTGCTTAAACTTGATAAGGTAGCCCCTGGGACTAAATGAAAGTCAGTATGGCAGCAGAGGTGAAGAACCCAAAGGTTGCTATGTCTTCTCTCTTTTTCTTTTTTTAAAGACACTTGTCCAGTCAACTTTTGGCTCAGTTGGTAAAGAATCTGCCTGTAATGTGGGAGACCTGAGTTCAATCCATGGGTTGGGAAGATCTTCTGGAGATGGGAAAGGCTACCCATTCCAGCATTCTGGCCTGGCGAATTCCATGGAATGTATAGTCAGTGGAATCGCAAAGAGTCGGACACAACTGAACGACTTTCACTTTTCACTTTTCACTTTCCAATTGACTTTCTATTTTCTATACCCCCAGTGTCCTTCCTTATTAATCCATGGTTATTTCCTCTTTGCTCTTACCACTCCTTTGGCTCCTAATGGTTCATGCTCAGTCACTTCAGTTGTGTCCGACTCTCTGTGACCCCATGGACTGTAGTCCGCCAGGCTCCCCTGTCCATGGGATTTTTCAGACAAGAATACTGGAGTGGGTTGCTGTGCCCTCCTCCAGGGGATTTTCCTGACCCAGGGATCAAACCTGCACCTTCTGTGTCTCCTGCATTGCAGGTGGATTCTTTATTGCTGAGTCACTGGGGAAGCCCCCTAATGGTTCATAACAACCCATTATTTTCTTCTTCCCTTCCCCATTATTTCATCCTGCCTCCTGGATGTGTGCCTTTCCCTTCCTATGTCTGCTAACAAATAATTAATAACAGTGGTAACAACAGCAACATCCCACATCCTGAAAGAAAAAAAAATGTGATAAAGCCAGAAAACCATCTTCACACTTAACAGCTTGTAAATTCATTAATTCTCTTTCAAATGGAAATTGTTGGCATGAAGGGGCTATGATTTTTTTTGAGTCACAGCTAAACTTGCTCATTGTGTATGAGCCCAGGGGTGACAATAACACTAAGGTACACTAATATCAACAACAATGGCCTGCTAAGTGTCACTAAATAACCCTAATATCAGAAGCATTCTGAGATATCTGTGATTAATGACTTGGTGTCACTTTTCTACCTTGTGGCATTACTATCTCACTGGGACAGCAACAACTGTGGCTAAACCCTAACATAAACTAACCTGTGGTGAGAAGCTGAAAAGCTCTAGTTGGTTTTTTTTTTTTTTGAGTCACAAATAAATGTGAGCTCAGGTATGAGAATTACTCCTTCTGAAAAGGAGTTTGCTGCCTTTCCTCACAGCAGATGCATTAAGTCAGAAACGTAATCCTTGAAAATCCTTTGCTGCCATTTCTGGTGGTTTCTTCTTATGTGTTAGCGTAATTACTTTTCCATCAGTTTCTGCCCAGATAATTGAAAGAAAGATGAAAACTATTTTTTCTTACAGTAAGAATTTTTCTTCTAGGAGGAACTTTAACTCCTTAAAACCAAGCATTAAAAAAGAATGGATAATTCTACATCTTATCATTACTAACTGAAATACAGAAAAAACTTTGTTTTCCATTGCCAAAATAATTAGGCAAAAAAAGAGATAACTGAAATTTTGGTTCAGTTTTTCATATCACCAAAAGATAAATGCAAAACAAACTTAGTGCTTTTCATTTTCAGAGTAATATACATGTCAACCACTAATTAAATTTAATAAACTCAAAACAGAAACTTTGGATAATAGTGTGCATTTACTTACTTTTTTGGGTGTCTCAGGCCAGAAGTGCTTACTCCCCCAAAACAGGACAATTAGAGTTAAGGCGAGGATACCAAATACCAATCCACAAATCTTAAGTAATTTGCATATCTTCTTGGATTTAAAAGCTTCTGCCTAAGCAAAATACAAACAGAACGAAACAATAAAAAATAGCCCTTAAAAATGCAAACCATAATTCAGTCACTTTTAATTTCACTTTTTAATGTTCACATAGCAATACAATATCTCTGTAAAGCCATGCTTTTGCTCAAAAGGGGAAAAAAAATGAATCAACTTACATTTAGAATGTGACAGTCCTCACAGTTCTCTGGAGGATTCTTTGCCATGGTCTCTCAGAACACAGCACTCTTTCCCTGCTTTGAGAGGACTGAGAGACCACTGCTGAGGTGGAGTTGCAAGTGAGTCGACTAACAGATGCCAGAGGAGAAGCTGAATTTATATGGCTCAAATATGTCATAACAGAGCCTGAAGGAGCCCAGGGGGCTCCTGCGCTGCGATTTGTTGCACCGATATACCCATATATGTATATAACTTCTGTGCACAGAATTCCATCCAGAATGGCAAAGACAGAAGGTTATAATGAAAACTATTGTCCTGGGGATTGGTTTGGAAGGGGACCAAGCCTAGGACACTTTGAAATGATTTTTCACTGTGAACTTAAAATATCAGTGGCAATGCATGCTGCATACTCCAGAAATAAGCAAACAAAACAAAGAAAGGAATGGAGACCTAATTTCAATTCCATTTGATCTAACAAATATTTATTGCAAGGATATTAAATGTCAAGCACTGTGCTTAGTGTAGGAGATTCAGAAATGAATAAGATAGTGCCTTCTTCTCTATATTAAAGCTCTTTGAAGACTAAGATCAATATGTAGTCAACAAATTATAATTAAAAACAAGATTTAAATGGTTAATTACAAGTTTTGTCTGTCTCTCTCTTCATTCTGTCTCTCTGATTATTTTCTTTTCCTACATTCTCTTCCTCAGTCTGTTCCTTAATGTTGATATTCCTTATGATTCTATCATTGATGATCTTCTCACTCTATATATACCCTTCTTAGATGATCTCATCCACTTCTACAGTTTAAAATATAACTTACATACCAATGATTTCTAAATGTATACTTATAACTCCAATCTGTCCTTTGAATTTCAAAGTCATTTGACTATCTCTACCTCAATGGACCTCAAGAATCTCAAAATGCAACATGTCCCACATCAAAATCTTCTTTCAACACCACTTTCTTCCAACCTACTTTTTTCCTGACATTGTTAATCTTAGTTGGTGGCTGTGTTAGTTTGCTAGAGCTGGCATAATAAAGTACCACAGACTGCATGGCTTAGACAACAGAAATTTATATTTCTACAGCTCTGAAGGCTAGAAGTCCAAGATCAGGGCCTCAGCAAAGTTGGTTTCTTTTGAAACCTCCTCCTTGACTTGTAGATGGCCTTCATGTTCACATGGTACTCCGTTTCTATGCATATATATGTCCTAATTTCCTCTTCTTATAAAGACACCAGTCATATTGGATTAGGCCATGCAACTTCATTTTTCCTTAATTACTTCTTTAAAGGTCCTGTCTCCAAATACAATCACATTACAAAATAATGGATATTAGGGCTTTAACATATGAATTTGGATGGTGGAGGGGGCACAATTTAGTTAGTAACAGTGGAACCATTACTCACTCAGGCTCTAAAGCCAAAAATCTATGGTTTGTTCTAGACTTCCCTCTCTGTCACATTCCCTTATCCAATCAGTGACTAAGTATTTCTTAATCTAAATTCTTAAATCTTTCAAGGCCATTCTTTTCTCCCTATATTGACTTCTAAAGCCTTAGTTTAGGTTGTCCTCTTCTCTGATGAATCTCAAATCTGTATCTCTTACCCAGTCTGCTTAGGGCTCCAGACTCATGTGTCCATCTAACCTGCTAGACATTCCCACTTGGATATCTCAGAGGTGCCCCAAATACTACATGTCCTCTGCTGTGTCATGCTCAGTCACTCAGTCATCTTCAACTCATTGCAACCCTATAGACTGCAGCCTGCCAGGCTTCTCTGTCCATGGGATTTTTCCCAGTCAAGAATACTGGAATGGGTTGCCATTTTCTCCTCTAGGGGATCTTCCTGACCCACATGTCTCAAACTGAATTAATTATCTCTCCTTCCAAATATACCTTTCTTTCTATAGTATCTCTCTCACTAAATGTTATGATGATCAGTTTCTAGAATGGAAACCTCCAAATGATCCTTTATTTCTTTCTCTCTTGCCTAATTAGGCCTCCATGACTAGTGAATTATTAAATCCAGTCATTTTTACCTCTGAATTATCTTCTCAATCTTATTCTTTCTATCGTCAAGTTCCACTGTCTTAGTTGAGGTTCTCATAGTTACTTTTATTGTTGCAATAGGGTCCTTACTGGTCCCCTTGCCTTCAATGATCTTTTCTAGGACTCAGATTTGAGTATAATCCTACCATGATTAAAATCTTTCTGTGTTTGTTCATTGTCTATAAACATCAAAACTCATTATGGTGATATCATAGGCACTTCAAGGTCTTGACTGTGCCTAATACCCACAGCCTTGCTTTTGGACAATTTCTTCCATAGAGATGGATACAACTGGGTGTCTCAGCTGGGCAGAGCTATGGAACATATATGTGTGACTTCACCCACATCCTAATGTCTCAAAGGAAAATATTTTTCTAAATGTTTCAGACATAATTATGCATGAATTGATTATGCAAGTTATGAAATATCAGTCATGGTTCTGTTTGCTCTACAATTCTTTGGCCAAACTTAAGAAAAAACAAAAACAAAAATGAATCTACGAAGAAATCCATGTTTGTTGTGTTAGATTTTTTCCCCCTCAACAATGTTACTCACACTATGCTTCTAATACCTTCCTTACACTTTATGCTTTATTGATTCTGAGCATTCTCTGCTTTTTAACCCTGTAATGCATTTTCACATGCTACTTTCTTTGCTTGGGTTTCCCTTCCTACCCTTGTCTACCTGAAAATTCTCATTTAGTCTTCAGAATACTGCCTGAAAGACTTCGCTGATCTCTCTACCACTTCATTGAGTTCATCACCCTTTCCCTTATTCTATTTTTGTATCTTGCTCATACTTCAAATGTTGCACTTATTACACTGTATTATAATTAGTTTCTATGTGTTTTTCTTCTGAGCAGACTTTGAGATCCTTTACAACATGCCTCATTTGTTAAAAGGATTGAAATAAAATAAAGGTCAAATTGATATGCCATGAAGCACAGAAAGAGGAATGATTAATTCTGATTCAGAAGAGTAGGGAAAATGACACAAAGCACCTGAAATTTCAGTAGGTTGTTCATTTACTAGCACTCTATGTGGCAAGCACTGTTGTAGGGGCTAGATATATACTCAGTAGTGGACAAGACAAACACAGTCCCTGACATTATAGAGCTCAGAAGCTATTTGGGGAGACAGAAGTTAAACTAAAGGGGAAAAATCCTGCAAATAAATAAAATATACAAATAACAAAATAGGTTAAGAAGGAAAAGTTCAAGGTATATTATGAAAAGACCTAATTTAGATTGGGAGGGTGTGGTCAGGGAAGCCCACACCAAAGAGAAGTCCCTTAAGCTCAGATCTAAATATTGAGTGAAAATTAGCCTGTGAAGAGAGGGAAAGAGATTATTCCAGTCAGAGGGATCAGCAAAAGCAAATACCTTGAAGCAGAAAAGAGGTTGTATTTGAAGAATAAAAGGAAACTCAGTGTAGTGGTAATATAGTGAATGTGGAGGAGAGTTGCTTGAGATTAAGTCTGAAGAGGTAGGCAGGGACTATATCATACAAGATTGTATCTATTAGGACTCTTAGACTGCATGTAACAGAAACCAAATTATGGTGGTTTAACAAAATAAAAAGTTTATTTTTCTAACATAAAGGAGCCCCAATGTCAACAGTTCAAGACTCATACAAGTTTCAGGACTCAAGCATCTATCTTTTTGTTCTATGATCCAATGAGCATGGCTTCTATCTTTAGGCTGCCTGCTGTTCTACTTCCAGGCAGCAAAAAGAAAGAATGCAAAGGGCAAAAACATGTGACAGCTAAGTCTGTCTCATTCCATCAGGAAAGTAACAGTTTTCCTGGAAGCCCCACTTATTAGATAGAACTGGGTTGGATGGCCACCCTTAGCTACAATAGAGTATGAGGAGGTTTCATTTTCAATTTAATCTATTACTACTCCTAAAAAATCTACTGGCTTTATTAGAAAAGGGGAAAACACATTGGATAGGCAATTTGTAGTTTCTACCACAAAGTGTGTGGGATTTCTTAGTTTATTCTAAAAACAGTGGGGGTTCATTGAAGGTCATTGAAGGGTTTTAAGCATGGGAGATACACAGTTCCTTTTATGTTGATTAGCATCTGTTTGGCTGTTGTGAGAAGGATGAATTGTAAGGGGGCAAGAATGTTTTAAAAGTTGACCAGTTAGAAGGTAATTGCAAGAGTTTATGATGCCTTGGATTAAGGAAGTGGTAGTTGAGACGGAGAGAAGTAGACAGTAGACAGAAGTAGAGGTAGCAAGCTTTTGGGGAGAAATTGGATCCACAGGGTGAGAGGAGAGGAATAAAAAAATGATTCATGTGTTTGTGGTTTATGTATTTGGATGGAGAGTGCTGTCACTTATTGGGATTATGAAGCATGGAGGACCAGATTGGGGTGATGAGTATGATTTTGGACATGTTGAATTTAAGGTGTTTATGAAGCATACAAAAGGAGGTGTCTTGTTGGCAGTTGAAGGTATGTGTCTGGAATTCAAAAAGACGGGCCTTGGAGTAGAAATAGAGATTTGGGAGCCATTTACTTGTGAATGGTATTCAAAACTATGGGAGTTGATGACATGGTTTATAGAATGAATGCAGAACAGAAGGAGAGAAAGGCTCAAGGCTGACCACTGGGAATCTTCAAGAGTTATTTATTTAAAAATATACTTTTAGAATGTTTTTTGCATTTTATTAAAAAGTACATGCAGTATTCATTATAAAATAAGTCAGCAATATATAGAAGCGGAAAAAGGAGGGAAAAAAATACCTCCAGAAACTTGCATGAACTAGAACTAATCAGTATTGTGCCTTAATTTGCTTATCTGAATAAAGGAGGATAAAAATAGTAACTATAAGATTGCTGTGATAACTTAATAAGATAATCCATTTAAAGTGCTTACTTTGCTATCTGGCAAATAGTAAATAGTTCATAAGCATTAATTACTAAGATTAATGAACATTATTCTGGACATCACTTTTATTATAAAGGATTAAGGAATAGATAGATAAAAA